GTAAACTATGGACATAAGCTTATAGGACAGTAGAATGACATTCAAATATTTGCTTCGAGCAATGCTCTTCAGCAAACTATAAAGACAAGGCCAGTTAGGAATAAATTTACACAAAGCAATAACGCGCCATCTATACTGAGATATATATAAACAAAATATTTACAAATAAAATGCTGACTAAGCGTCACGTGGCTGATGATGATAAACCGAGTAGGCCACAACAGATTATTCCGTAACAAGATGTTTTTGATTGGTGTACATCGATTGTTGAGAATTGAGAGAGTTATATGTTATTTAATTGTGTTTTGCATCAATTTTCAAAAGAATAAAAATAAGTATATATCAATAAAAAACAAAAAAGGGAGACATTTAATTTTTGGACTTCGTGTTTTGAGAAATTTCGGATATATTTCTCCTTCAACAGGTGTTTGAACAAGCGCCGCTGTTGAAGAAGTACAGATATGTATACGAGTATATGGAAGCTCGGGATTATATAGTTCAATAAAAATATTTTCTCTGGGTTTTTATTGTTTTGAATATTTATATCGTTAGGCTACATCGTCTGAATTGAAGAGATACATGTTCTTTAATTGTTGCACAACAATTATTTAAAATTGAAATAGATTTATTTACTCTAATTGTGTCGGTAAAGTGTTGAGAATTGAAAGAAAGAAATATTATATATTTATTATGCCTTAATTGTGTTAAGAGAATAAGATTTATTTATTCTATTGTCGAGAACATTAAAAGATAAACTTTATTTCCAATGTTGTTAACAACATGATAGACAGGTTTCAATTATTGTGAATAAAATCCTTTTAAATGTCACAAAATTATTAAAAGACATCAAGGTTATATTTATGATATGTGAACAACCATTGATATTTTATCACCTCTTTTAATTTCATCATAGATCTGTTCTTTCATTGTTGTGAACCAAATTTCATTAAATTTCTTTCAAATCCTTTTAGTGCAATAATTTACATATGCTTCAAATATCAAGAGGAATCAAAGAAATATTCCCCAGTTACTTCGAAATATTATAGAGATTCCCAAATGGTTAGAGACAGTCATGGCTATATTCCTTAAAAGTTGCGAACATTCGTGGATAAAATCTTCAATTATGTACGTTATTAAATGAAGGTATGTCCATAGTATACTCAAAAGAGAATCAAAGATGCTATTATGTATGCGCGCAATATATCGATATGAATATTAACTAAATGTTTGTGCTGATTATTTTTTCATTCCAAATTATTGATCAAACACCTTTTGTTACTTCACCAAGCCAGTGCGAATGTGTGTCGGGATGTTGGTATTCTTCAGCGTGGTGCCAGATGGACGTTTTCGGCACACTAATAGATTTTTTCATATTTTAACTATCTGAATTTCTTTTTAAATTTTGACTATTTTTCACTTGTCGAAGCGAAATCACATGAATTTGGTTTTAAATACAAAATTAGTTAGGTTTAAAAAATAATAAGTAATTAAAATAGGATAAAGTATCGTTTTCAAAATAGAGCAATCCATAAATAAATATGTAATTAAAAAGGCATATACAGTGGACCCTCGGAGTACGAGCTTTTCGCAGTACGAGCAAAATTTTTTGAAAAATTTTACCTCGGATTACGAGTGAAATTTCGCATTACGAGCAACTCGTGATGGTTGCCCGTAATCGTGATGGATGAAAATTCACTGGGATCCCTCTCTTCAGATCAGATTCGGGAAATATGTAAAATGTGGGAAACTGTGCAATTGTTCGTAGCAAGAAGAATTGCCCGAGTTTCAATTATTAAAAATAAGAAATTAGTTTCGCACTACGAGCGTTTTGGAGTACGAGCATGGCTCTGGAACGGATTATGTTCGCAAACCGAGGGTCCACTGTATTGGATCAAAATAGCATTTATTTTACTAATATTTCAGTTGGCTGAACGCCAACCTTTATCAAGGTATTATAACATATTAATGTGTGCCAACAACAAACTCAGCGCCCCATAATGTCGATGGAATTAAGTTTAAAAAATAGTTTTGCTTATATTCAATGGGGAGAAAAAATTTGATATATATATTATGGACAAAATTTTTTTTTTGTAAAATAATGGTGTGAAAATTTAACGCCTATTTTATATTTACAATTATTTTTACTATATGTAAAAATATTTTTCATTTAAAAAATAAAATAAAAATAACAAATTATATATAAAAGAAATGCTAAACTAAAATTTTTAATCGGAAACACAAAGCGTTTAAATGTTTGCAAAGTTGGTTAAATTAAACGGTTTATTAAAAATTAAACAGTAATTAAATATTGGTAAAATAATGATATTTCGATCGAATATATGCCTCTTTTTAATTAAAGGATAAAGTATTTACAATCAGATAATTTCAGCCGGGGAGTCTTCCCCATCGCGCAAGTTTCCTCTTCCAGGCGATGATGGGGTCATCAATTCCACCACCCAGCCCCACCTGCACGAAGTACCTGTATATTCGGGACATCGCTGGCGCAAAGATGGCTAGGTCGTCTTTTTCAAGGCTGGTCCGGAAGTTCCTAGCCTGTAGGTCAGGGAGTCTCCCGATGATGATGAGGGCTTTTCGTCGAGGGGGCTGATGTTACGGTAGTCCCAGTATCGGTGGCCCAAGGAGCCGTCGTCGGACCCACAGGCAGAACAGTACGGACTGGCTTAGGAAGAAGGGCAGAGGATTGCATCAGACAACGTAAATTGTTTAGGCCTAAATTAATTATTTCAATTTGGATACTTTTTCTCGACATTCATGCATTTTCATTTGGTATTCTTGTCAAAGCTTTCATTAAAATACATATTGTAATCATACAAATACACGTGAGCTATTTTAAACCTTTACCAATGAAACAAAAAACTTACAACGCATAAAGACAATCAGTTTTCATTATTACAATATTCACATTAGGATGGATTTATAAATGATTCCCCTTAAAAATAATTTCATTCTATATATAGAGAGAAAATATGATGATATCTTATGATCGTCCAATGAATTTTGCTGATGGATTACAGTCATTTATCAGATAAAATACCAACAGAACATTGAATATTTATTTCATAAATGAAAAAATGACGTTGTCTCAGTCTTTTTTCCGCTTTAATGGAGGTAAAGTATCAATAAAATTAATTTGTAGATTAGGAGATGCTCTTTTTAACACACCCTGATATATTACTCTAATTCATTTGAGCATATTTGAATATCAACAGTTGTTTTCGTGTGTGAATTTATAAAGTATAATTTAAACATTTTAAAGGTCTAAAGAAAAGAAGAGGTTGTAAACTAGTCACAGTCCTATCAAAACTCTAATTAAAATGACCATTAATACGTAAAAAAGAACACTCCATTTAGTTATTCTTCACTCTCACCAAGCAACAAAATCAATTACGGCTAGGGTGTTAAGAACCAAAAAGGGTTTCAATTAAATCGCTAAATTCAATAGAAATAAAGGAAGAAAGTAGTTCCCTTTCAATGTATCCGCGGGCGGGTGGGGGCTAATGCATTTTAATCCTGAGGTCCTGGCAATGGATTCCTGTTGGAGTCCCTCCAAGAGTCCCGGATCTAATGTCCGCGTGATGATCGTTAATATTTTACTATGGAAGCTAATTGGGACTTGGTCCCTTATTGCCCATTAAATTTTATACCGGACCCTTTATAGTCCCTTTCTGTGGTAAACTGAATAGTCAGCTCGTGTCTATCACGCTCGAGTCCCGTGGCAGCCAACTAAGACCTTCCTATATGGTGAAATACCTGCCTAGTACATATCTCACCATATAATATTGATTATTCCGTCGTCTATGTTTTCTAATGCTTTGGTTGACTGGTTAATCAGGTTATACTCTGTCCCATGTGTTACCTTTGTTAAATGGTACTGTCCATGATAATCAGGGTGAATAATTTTAAATCAACCACAGTTCTTTATTCTGGGATCTAAAGTAAACCCACCGACTTGCTGTTAAAGCCATCAAGAGAACCCTTACTTTTCAAATAGGCATTTAATATAACCCGATGACTATAAAATATTGATTCAAATTCGTTAATATATCCATTACAAATAATACTTCTCTTTTTAAAATAAATGAGAGATTTAATACAAATTTACCCATAGTTTTCGCATTAATTTTTATTATTTATAACTGTATACAGTAGTATTTAAGATTACGAACATGTTTCCATACAAGAGCAAACATTTTTGACAAATTTTATCTTGAAATGTGAGTGTGGTTTCGCATCACAAGGAGCAATTAATGATGGTTGCCCATTCCTTTATTTCCTTCTTTCGTGACGGGATTGGGTATATTATATATTATTTTATTTATATGAACAGAGATACTACTTGCTCATTATTCCAATTGTAATGTTCCTCTCTTCAGTTATATAAATAAATATGCTTTACTAAATTAAGAAACAAATTCCAATTATATATATTTCTAATGCTATATATACACTTTTGAATATATTCATAACAACAACAACAATTACAGTGCTGCCAAATCCAAACATTCAAAAATAAATTAATTGAACATAGTATATTATAAAACGACATTGGAAAATATCCCGCATGAGTTTCTTTTAAATGAAAAATCGAAATTTATTTTTAAGGAGAAATGACGACTATTTATAACTTTAGAGATGAGGTATGAAAGGATGAATTGTGAAGAGCAATGGTAAACGGAAAAATAAAAGTGTCCAGGGATGGGAATCGAACCCACAGTGTTCTGCTTACCGGGCAGATGCCATGTCCACTAGGCTATCCTGGACATATTTCTCCGTTCGTAAATATTATTTGAGGTAATTTATAATATAATATAATGCGGCTTATGATTGTAAAACGACATTGGAAAATATCCCGCATGAGTTTCTTTCAAATGAAAAATCGAAATTTATTTTTAAGGAGAAATAACGACTATTTCTAACCTTAGAGATGAGGTATGAAAGGATGAATTGTGAAGAACAATGATAAACGGAAAAATAAAAGTGTCCAGGGATGGGAATCTAACCCACAGTGTTCTGCTTACCGGGCAGATGCCATGTCCACTAGGCTACCCTCTACATATTGGACATAGTATATTATAATATTATTATAAGGTATATTACACCAATATATGTACATTTTTATATGTGTATATTTATTACATACTATAGTACTTCATTCTGTTGACGTTACGAGGCGCTGAGTTTGTTGTTGACACACATTAATATATCATGATACCTTGATAAAGGGTGGCCTTCAGACAACTGAAATATTGGTAAAATAAAATATAGTTTGATCCAATATATGCCTTTTTAATTAAATTGAATACTATAGTACATGTATATATTTAATCAATGTTTTCTTTTCTTTTATACAAAATACACTCATGGACAAAACGTAAGAATGTTTCATATTTTGATGTCGCTTGTCTCTGTTTTTTTTTTTTCAATGAGATAGAATCAATTTTGATCACACTTGGTTATCTCGTATGTATTCAATAAAGGTTACTGTGTATCAAATAATTTCAGAGTTATTGTCTGAATATCCCGCTAAAATATAGTTTGAGCTAAAATACTGAATAATTCTGAGATATATTTATAGATTTGAAGACAAGATGTACACTATTCCAGGGGCAGATGTTTCATATTGCTAAATACAGCGCTCAGGCTCAAATTCACCAATGAGAAATTTATCAAAGGGAATGACTTCAATATATTATAGGCTTATATTGTTAAAAATAATTCATTTGTATAATATTCATTTGTTGATCACGTGATAAAGAAAGCCAATCAGGTGAGACTTTGAGCAAGCAAGGTATAAAAGGCACGGCGGGATGGCCGGTGCGGGGATTAGTAGAGTTAGTAGGGTTAGTAAGAAGCGTCCATAAGGATAGGAGTGCCTGAGCATAGGAGTTGAACTCAAGCTCAGAAGAAGTTTATTATGAATGCCTGAGCCTTGGATATAAAGTACTCTAACTCAGAAGAAAAGTTTATTATTAATGCCTGAGTGAAGGAAATAAAGAACTCTAGCTCAGAAGGAAATAAGAAAAGGAAAAAGTTTATCAGAAGCCTGGCTAGAAACTGAATAAAGTGAAAAGACTAAAGAAGCTTATAATAAGCCTGCAAATAAACTGAATAAAGTTAAAATGGATAAAGTTGATGAAAAGCCCGTTGTAGAAACTGAAGAAAGTGAAACAATGCTAAAGTAAGCAAAAGATTGATTATCATAATAGTTCAGGATGATTGCTCCGATTGAAATAAGTTCATTTTTATGTATCATTTTATCATAATAGAATAAAGCTCATTAAGTTAAATTAATCAAACCTTGCCGTTCACCACCTCCAGAATACCACCTGCCTATCGCTACTGTAAGTAAAATAGTTAAACACAAAAATTATTTAAATCATTAATTTGTTTATTTATTATTTTCTCTTTTTTTCTATCTTTTACTTTAATTCCAACACCTATATGTAATATTGTTGCAAATGTGCCGACGTATGGATGAACTGGCAGTCGTGTACGTGAGGCGAGTGTTGATGTTCTTCCCACACGCGGACAACAAGAAGCAGAGGCAGGGCTAGATGTTAGCACAGAGAGGGATCGGGGACAGCCCACGGGACAGAGGTAGAGGCCATGACACAAACTTGGATGCTTATCACCGAGACATGGAGAGAGAGTGTGTGTGAAAAACAGCAGCCGTCTGTCGATGGCCACCCTCCAGAACATCTGCTGACCCCCTGCCAAAACCGGTCTTGTTTTCAGGGATCGTCTATAAAGAGTCCCTGGGGGCCCCACATGGGCTGGGCGTTGCCTTTTTGCTCCCCTCTGTCTCTGCCACCAGCTGACCGCTCTCTCTTTGGATCTTAATTTTGACGTCAACATTTTTAGTTTTACATACAAATAGGGGTTTACAGGTATTATTAATAAAGATATAGATTATATACAAAATATGGGGGTGGTAGCAAATAGAAACAGTGTACATTTTAATAGAAGGTAGGATATTCTAAGGCATCGGCTCTAAATAATTGGGAGATATGTGACATATACTAAAAGTGTCATTATTATACAGTTTTAAAATATACGATATATATATACAGACTATGAAGAGGCGTTATATATAATCTTACTCCTGTAGAAGGATTCAAAGGCCCGAATTCTTTGAGTCAATTAAATTATATTTTTGGAAGAAACTCTTCCCTGGATAGAATTTTTCTCACAAGTCATATTAAAACAAGGGGTTATTATTTTCAGAATATTCTTATTTTCGTAGCCCGTATTCATCTTTTTTTGTAGGTGGAGCTCTGGTGGCACCTTGTTGCTCGAAAGTCGAACTACTATCTACATACAGATGTTGTGCATATAGTAAAGCAATCTCGTGCCCCCTCATACTATTAAATAATGCCATGTGTGTATTATAAGGCGTTAACCTACCATTCTATATACAGTTACGTGCGTCATTCCTCATCTCCTAATCAACAATCAGTCATCAGTTTTCATCTCTGTCATCGTTTGCTTTTTTTTTTTTTGGAATGGCATCCTCCTATTGGTTGGCTACGGTCACGCCACCTTTGCCCCCCCCACTCGCCTTTTCGTTAATGTAATTATTGTGTTGGAGCGGGTCGCTCCTTAAATAAATGCATATATTAGTTAATAACCAAATGGAATCCTCTCTTTCTTTTTCCCTGTAAGAGACGCCTACGGAAGCCAACAGTACATAGACAGATAAAGCACATAGGCTATAGTTATTAACTAACATATGCATTTATTTAAGGCGCCAATTTATAATTGTAACAAATAGTATTTGAATCAAAACATTCAATCGGGTAAAACACGGGCGTTGCCCGGGTCATTCGGCTAGTCTATATATAAGAAATGAAGGCTTCAAAGCACGAATGTTTCTTTCAAACATAAACCAATAATTGAAAACATATTTGCTATACAAATATTTTTAAAATTCTATATTTATATTACTTATCATGATAAAAACAATGTATTTCTTTAATACACCATTTCTATATATAATTGACTATTATAGAATAATAACGACTAAAGGTATTCCGATGAGAACATCAATATATGATCTACTGCCCGACCGCTGCCACATCATTAAATATTCTGAGAGTTGGGCTGGAAGAGAGAGAGATATAGCTAATTGGATCTCTTTCTAACTTGTTTTGGGAACTTTTGAAGGAAATTCAATATTTGGTGGCATTAACGTATTCTTTCTGACTTGTGTGTCGTGTGCGATATTATCTTTTTACTTCTCTGAAGTCAGAATCATGAATATAGAACAGGTTGTGACGAAGTTGAATATCCATTTTTATATAAAGTTTTATAAATATTTCAAATTTGATAAATGAGTATAGAAATGAGTTTTATGGCATAGATAGCTTCTGTAAATCTCAGCCATAGCTTCTGTCAGTGTTTCATTCACTCAGTAGGAACTGAACCAATCAAGAGCAGTTCCCTATCTCTCAACGTGCCCAGCGCTATCTCCCGGCGTGTGCCTGGATTAGCCACAGATAAGATTCTCGGACCTCAGTCCAAGAGAGACTTAGAATCCCGCAGATTAATTTGGAAAATAATTAAAGATACTTTCAAAAATAAAATTGAAAAATATTTTTCGACATTCTTTTACCATTTTTATATTTTAGACTCTATCATTCGCTTCTATCGCACATTCGCTGTAAATTTGTAAAGATAATATATTTTCAACATTATTTCGGCACATATATCCAGCTATTTGGATGTAATGTTGATTATACTTGATCAATATGTTCTCAATACTATGATTATAAATATATCCCTTATTAACATTTTACAGCTATAAAAATTTGTGTTCAAATTTTCCAAATACTTTATGTATAGTCTCTGTACACGTAATTGATTATTCCACTAACTTGGAGAAGAGCAAGAAATCAGTCTGTGGGTGTATCCCTATAAAATACATTTCTTATTTTCATTTTTTTCTTTATTTCGGCTTATAGCGCTATGTCCCCCTAGAGACACTTGCACTTTATAAATAAACAAAAATTTTGAAAGAAAAGAAATATTTTTTCAAATATGTACAGAATTAGTATGCAAGTTAGTAAGATGAAAAGATAAAAAATATATATATATCAACACAATTGATATATGTACAAAGAGTTGGTATTCAAATTTAGTTAAATGAAATTAAATTGTAAAGCATTGTGTTTATTCGAGAAAAGAAATTTACAGATAAAAAAAAGTTTAAAGGAATATTTTATAATAAAAATATGCTAGATATTAGAGAATTATTCAATTAAAACAATACTAAAAAAGGTTAATTTCTAAATAAAAGCGTTCCAAAGGAATTTAGTAGTTTATGTAAAACATATATGGTTCTTGAATCAAAATAATGTCAGGTGGATCATCTCTAGTGTTGGCCTGTAGTTCACTTATCGCAGCAAAACTTTTTCTTACATTTTGTTGAATACATCTCACATTTTCAATCATATAGAATATTAATCTATTTAAGATTGAGCTTCAAATTGTATTTGATACATCATTTCCCTCTTATATTTGTGAATATTGTGTCCTTTGGATAATTCTGTCTATTTGTGATTTGTAAATCGGGCATTCACTTGAATTTGATTTATGGTTTGTAGAAAGGTTTTTAAATTTAGGGTGCTTAGAGCAATTGTGACAATTTGGTGCTTCAGTACAGTAGTGGCTACCCTGTACACCGCATATTTTACATATTTTAATGTTTTGGCAGTCTTTTGTTTTGTGGTTCGGATTAAATTCAAAACAATTTTGGCATTGTCTTACAATAATCTGTCTTGTGTAGAACATCGCTCAAAATCGGTGTATATCTCATTACCCATTTTTCTTAATATTTGGTAAACTTTAGGAGTTACTCTTAATACTATATTGTGATATGGAGAGTTAGATCTCATTGTAAATAGAACTTTTATTTCATTTTCCAAATTTTCTAGATCAGAATTCATTCTGCATATGGTTTGAACGAAGTTCGCCGTATCTGTAATTTTGGATACGTTTTTTACTACCATAGTTGGATCTCTTAGTGTCGGTATGTAAATTTTACTAATCAATTTCAAATCTTC